TGATTTGACCACGGAGATCGGAGTGACGGCTGGCTTGACCGCAGTGTCCGAATGGCTGGGAGCAGGCTGGAGAGGGTTGGAACTGTGTTCACCCGGTAAGACAGCAGCATTTTACACTGTTTGTGCTTGTAAGCGGAGCTGTGAGTATTAACTAACGTTAGCTAACGTTAGTAACAGTTATATTGTAAGCCACATCATTGATTGCCTTAAGGGATATCACATGAACTCTTGTTCAGTTGAAACCGACTGATGAAGAGCAATAACAGTGTTGTGTAGCATAGATTACCTGTTGCTTATTTTCTGTTTTATTGAGGCAAAACGGGGGTTGTCCGGAGTTAGCTTAACGTTGTCTAACTTCACGTTAAATAGCTTCCGCTGTAGCAGCGACTGGATCAACTGGCGCTCAGCTACGTCAGCACGTAATAACGTTATGTCCTGTTGCTTCTGAGGCAACACTGACTAACGTTTAATAAAGACCTAATGTACCAAACAAAGCTAATATGAACACATGGGATTTTGTTTCTTTTTCAAGAGCACGACCCCATGATCTATGGTAACGTGAGTCTAAAGAGGAGGCGCGGTGACGTCATAGACATGCGACCAAGAGTGAAGAAACATTTTACACTTGACTCAGATTTGAAGTCAGCTATTTCATTAGTCGTTAGTCATTAGTACAGATTATTTATCTGTACTACATAGTATGACTGGACTGGAATCTACTTTATAGATAGTACGCCCTCAACATAGACAGAGCTGAGCATCACAGTGGTGCTAGTCCAGCAGTTGGGAAACAACACATGGGAGCTCAGTGAATAAAGGTGTTAGCACACCAAACTGTAACTTACACTGAACATTTACTGCCAGATTGACAATTTCACTGCTTACCTTTTCCTCCAGTTCTCACTCTCGCTCTCACACACACCACTGCGCATCCACTCTGCATCACCTCACCTTTAGCATGAGCTCAGCTCACTTGGAACCTCAACTGAGGCGGTACTAAAAAAAAAAAAGTACACTGTACTTTCCGTAATGGAAAACCAGATAAGAGTCAGGCCGAGTTGAGCCGTACAATGTGGTGGAAAAGCAGCAAATGATATTGCTTTCAATGCAGCTTTAATGATCAACTGTGTGATTGACAGGGTTCGAGATTTGATGCGCTCTGGAGTCATAAAGCCGCAGCAGAAACCTATCTGGTACAACGTGTACAAGGCTTTTCCACCAAAGAGGGACCCAGTTTACGTGAGGCCAGATAACAGACACAGTACCAGGAAACAGCAAACTGTGCCTGAAATCTTGTACAGAGAAGATGAAGTGAGAGTGTAAGTTTTCAACACTATTGAGTGATTTACAGTAATATGTTCATGAGATGTAAATGAAATGAGGTGATGGTCATGTCTGCATTAAAAGCTGTTGTAAGATGTTTTGCAGGCTCCACTCACCCATAACTGTCTGCCCTTCAGGAAGTTCTATGATCAGTACGTGACTGGTCTGGCGTTTGAGCTGTCCAAACCAAACTTTGTGTCTTTGTGTCAGAGGTATGTTTTTCCCCCTTCTTTATGGGAAGAGGAGATTCAAATTTTCAATTTCAAGTGTGATCTAAATTAGTCAAATAAGAGTGTTTGTATTAAAGAACTACTGTATGTGACAAAATATTTAATGTAAAAACATAATTATATAAAAAATAATTTCACCCTAACACTCCACTCCACAATACTGGAACTATTAATATTGTTCCTTGCACCTTATCTGTATTTTGTTTCTATTGTATAGTGTTTTATTCTATTGTATTTTTATTGTATTTAAATGTACCTGGCTGCTATGACGATCCAATTTCCCTTCAGGGATTAATA